TTCACAGCATCAGAATGAGTTTTTCCTGACATTATCTCATGGTTTTTGAACCAGCTGGTGCCTTTAATTAGGATCAAAAGCCCACATATTGCATTTAGTTTATATGTTTCTTAAATCTCTTTGAATATTTAAGTTTCTCCTCTGTCCCACTTTTTTCCTCTTGCAGTTTTGTTTTTAATTTTATAGCTCTTTTATTTATTTATTTTTGACTTTAAATAATTAAAAAATATTGTGAGAGTATTAGAGTTGTCTCTTTTCACACTGCCCCTGCTGCCCCCCTCCACTAGGTTCCTGACCCACCTCAGGCCTTCATCATCCTATTGTCTGTGTCCACAGGTATTGCATGTATGCATATAAGATCTCTGGTTAATCTCTTCTCACTCCCCTACCCCCTTCCCTCTGAGATTTGTCAGTCTGTTCCATGTTTCCATGCCTCTGATTCTATTTTATTCATCAGTTTATTTTGTTCACTAGATTTCTTGTTGGTTTATTTTGATATTTAGATTTAGTTGTTGACAGGTATGTATTTATTGCCATTTTATTGTTCATATTTTTGTTGTTGTTGTTCTTCTTCCTTCTTCTTCCTCTTCTTAAAGAATACCCTTCAACATTTCATGTACTACTGATTTGGTGGTGATGAACTCCTTGGCCCGCAAAGTTTCTGCTGAGAAATCAGCTGACAGTCATATGGGAACTCCCTTGTAGGTAACTAACTGCTTTTCTTTTGCTGCTTTTAAGATTCTCTCTTTGTCCTTTACACTTGACATTTTAATTACAGTGGGACCTTGACTTACGAGTTTAATTCATTCCATGACGGAGCTTGTAACTCAAATTACTCATATGTCAAATCAAAAAGTAAACGAGTTCTAACTGGTTTGGCTCAGTGGATAGAGCGTCAGCCTGACAACTCAAGGGTCCCAGGTTTGATTGCAGTCAAGGACATGTACCTTGGTTGTGGGCACATCCCCAGTAGGGGGCATGCAGGAGGCAGCTGATCGATGTTTCTCTTTAGTCGATGTTTCTAACTCTCTATCCCTCTCCCTTCCTCTCCGTAAAAAAATCAATAAAATATATTTTTAAAAAAAGTGAACGAGTGAGACACGTAATGCTGGGCTGATGTTGTGGCATTCACTGTGATGTTCACTGCGCCAACTAGCGGTGGGGTATCTGAAGCTGGCTCGTAACCCGAATTTTAGCTCGCAACTCAAAGCAAAAGATCGGCCGAGAGATCTCGAAAAACTCGTTAGTCGGGACACTCATAAGTCAAGGCCCCACTGTATGATGTATCTTGGGGTGAGCCTCTTTGAGTTCCTCTTGTTTGGGACTTTCTGCACTTCCTGGACTTGTAAGTCTTTCTTTCACCAGGTAGGGGAAGTTTTCTGTCATTATTTCTTTAAATAGGTTTTCAATACCTTGCTCTCTCTCTTCTTCTGGCACCCCCATAATGTGAATGTTGGAACGCTTGAAGTTGACCCACAAGCTCCTTACACTATCTTCATATTTTGGAATCTTTTTTCTTTTTGCTCTTCTGATTGTTGTTTTTTGCTTCCTCAAATTCCAAATCATTGATTTGACTCTTGGAATCCTCTACTATCAAATCCCAATAAATTATTTTTTGTTTCAGTTAATGTATGCTTAATTTCTGACTGGTATTTTTTTTTTTAATATCTTTGACATTCTCACTAAAGTCCTTGAAAGTCTCACTAAATCCCTTGAAGCTCTCTTTGAGTCCCTTGAAGCTCTCATTAAGATCCTTGAATAACCTTAGAACCATTGTTTTGAACTCTGTATCCAGTAGTTTGCTTGCTTCCATTTCTTTTATTTGTAACACTAGAGGTCCAGTGCATGAGATTTGTGCACTGGGGGCCGGGGGAGGGGTCCCTCAGCCCAGCCTGCACCCTCTCATAGTCTGGGACCCCTCGGGGGATATCTGCCTGCCAGCTTAACTGGCAGTCAGACATTGCTCTTGCAGTCCGGGGCTCTCACTAGTCAGGGACCCCTCGCTCCTTACCACCCGCCTGCAGCAGAGGCAGGAAAAGCTCTCACTACTGCCACTGTGCTCACCAGCCAGAAGCTGGGCTTGCTGCTCCTTAGCATTGCTTCTGGCTGAACAGAGCTCCCCATGTGGCAGTGCACTGATCACCAGGGGGTAGCTCCTGAGTTGAGTGTCTGCCCCCTGGTGGTCAGTGCACATCATAGTGACCGGTTGTTCTGCTGTTTGGTTGACTTGCACATTTGCCTTTTATTATATATGATGTTTCTTTGTCTTTGCACTTTGGCTGCTTCCCTTTGTTTGTTTCTATATATTAGGTAGAGCTATTATGTCTTCTGGAATTGGTAGAGTGGCCTTGTGTAGTAGGTGTCTTGTAGGGCCCAGTGGGTCAGCCTTCCCAGTCACCTGAGCTGGACACTCTAGGTGCTCCCCTGTGTGAACTGTGTGCACAGTCTTGCTGTAGTCGAGCCTTGATTGCTCTTGCTGTCACTGGGAATTGGAGGAATTGGCCTGCTGTGCAAGAGACACCCCTATGTAGCAGGAGTTGCTTCAGTGGAGCTCTGGTGCTCACTGAGTCTGCCCCTTGAGTGTGTTGCTGTGAATGTGTAGAGTTGTAATCTCGTATGGTCTGAAGCTGTCCACTGGGTGCATTGGCTCTGGGGCCTTCCGGGAAGTGCAAAGTCAGCCACTGCCTGGGGCCACCCAGCAGAAGATACAAAGAGATCTGCAGATGGCTGCTACTTGTATTGGGCTAGGAAGTGCCCAGGTGAGGCCCAGCAGTGAAGCAAAACAGGCTGGTGCTAGTGCTGGGTCTTGGGCCTCTTATTGATAGTTTTGGGGCATGCTGACTCCAGCTGCTGCTTGTTTGAGTGATTTTAGGAAAGTCTGAAGCCTGAGCCAGCCCAGGCCATTCATATGGAAAAGCTGCTGCAAATAGCTTGGGTGGGGCTGCAAATTGGATGGGGTGGGATCTCAGGGAATCACCAGAGGGAGTCAGCAGTATGGGCCACACTAGGGAAACTCAGATATGGCTGCCAGTCAGCTCTGTGACAGGGGAGGTCCCAGCATAGGAACCATGACCCCTGTGAGCACCCCTTTCTGGGAGAAAGTCTCCCCCGAGTTCCTGCCCCAATGCCAGACAACCCAGTTCCTCCAAGTATGTTCGTTGATCCCTAAAAGCCACCACCCAGTTTGGGAACTCAGAGGGAGTGGGACTGTGTAAGTTTGTGCTCAGTCCCTTTGAGAGGAACTGTCTGGGACTCTAGCAGTCTCTGTGTCACTCAGGAAAAGTCCCTGCTGTGTTTTTTAAAAAAATGTATCTTTTATTGTTGATAGCATTACAGATATCTCCTATTTTTCCTCTTTCTCCACCTCCTCCCAGCCTTTCCCCCCAGACCCATACAGGCCCCCCCGCCCCCCCGACTTCACCAACTTATCGCCTGTGTCTATGGGCTATGCACATAAGTATATAAGTTCTTTGGCTTATCTCTTTTTGTCACCTCAACCCCACATTGAGGTATATCAGTCTGTTCCATGCTCCCCGATGGTTTTTACAGCCCAAAGTTACTGGGGAACTTCTCTTCCCAGCTTTGGAACCCTGGGCTGAGGGTCTGCTGTTGGGCTGGGATGCCTTGCTCCTAATGGGAGGCCTTTGCCATCACAATATCCCTCCTGATTAAAAGCATGCCACACGTGGGTGTGGGACCAGCCTGCTCCTCGCCTCCACCCTTCCTATCAGTCTCGATGTGCTTTCTTCTCTAGTTGTAGGACTTCAATTCAGCCAGATTTCAGGTGGTTCTGAGGGATGGTTGTTCTGTATTTTAGTTGTAATTTTGAGGTGGTTGTGGGAGGTGGCGAGTACCGGCATTTACCTACACCCCCATTGGCTCTCTTTGGTCGGGTCCTAAATAATTTTTTATTTTTCAATTCAGTTGACATACAATATTATATTAGTTTCAGGTGTACAACCGGTGATTAGACATTACATAACTTACCAAGTCGTCATCCAGATAAATTTCACATCCATCTGACACCATACAGAGTTATTACAATACTATGGACTGTATTCCCTGTGACTTACTTCTCATCCCTGTGACTATTCTGTAACTGCCAATTGTACTTCTTAATCCTTCCCCTTTTAACACCCATTTCCCAACTCCCTCCCCCCGGGCAACCTTCAGTACACCTGAAAATAATGCAAAATAATACTGAATGTAAAATTCTTACTGGAAAATAGAATAAACTAAAAAGGAAAGATGCTCTTCCTTTAACAGGGGGCCTGTCCTCCAGGAACCCACAGTCTAGAGTTTGTTTAAGGTGATTTGAATAACAAAACTACAAAGGAAGATAGGAATTAAAAAAAATCTGTGTTATTTTGTGTACATTCTCTGACTTCCCCTTTGCCCAAGTGATACAATCCCCAAATAGTAGAGCTATGCACTGATGCATTTAACTCAAACAAATTCAAATACAGAGTAAGTGTGCATGTATTTGGTTGCAAATCACTAATGTGTTAGTGTAAACATCGCAGCTTATTTCTCCCACTCTTCCACCTACTGGGTGAGATGGGGGGCAAGAGGGGGGTGGGGCTGCCTCTCCTGCTTATTCTGTTTCCACATGCCCTTCCTATTACCTGCCTGCCTATGTGCCATGCTAGTGTTTACATATACGTGTTTCTTGTGCATTATGAACCTGACACAAGCCAGCTGCTTCTCATGGCGCCCCGTCTAAGGAACAGCGCTCTGTTCTGCTCAGAGAGTGTCATGTTGAGTATATGTGACTTTTGGACCCAGTTACTTTAGAAAGTTAACTAGTTTGCAAGACCTGACCTCCATGTACCCAGTTTGACTTCAGCTAGTTTAGGGGCAGAAGCAAAGGCATTGCTACTTTGCCAGAAAGCCTTTACTTGCCGTGAAGCCAGGTTTTAACCATCTCTCTCTCCCTCTCCTCTCTCTCTTCCTCCCACTCTCCTTCTCCCCACCTCCTCCCTTTGTTTTCTCTTTTGCAGTCTGCTGTTTCGTTGTGCACAAGCGGTGCCATGAATTTGTCACGTTCTCCTGCCCAGGCGCCGACAAGGGTCCAGCCTCTGATGTAAGTAATGGGCACTGGTCACCTCTCTTTGTCCACAGTCATCCTGAGGGAGGACCCTGAGACAAAGAGGTTGGGATGGTCTCATGCCAAGGCACATAGAGGTCCTTACAGCCTCTGGGACAGTTTTCATTGTAATGGAGAAAAAGAAAACATTTTAGACGGGGCTGTGATTGTACAGGAAACCTGCTAGTTCTCCTGCTATGATGTTGCCAAATGTCTTTACAATTTTTTATTGAATTTATTGGGGTGACATTGGTTAACAAGATTATATAAAAGTTTTATAAATGTCTTCTCATCTTGACAGTGGGGGCATGGAGAGTAGAGTGGTGGGCGAGGCCGAGCTGTTCCCACTGCTGTGGAAAGGTGGTTGGAATAGCACCTTCCTTGCACGCACTTGATGGCTCTTTGCTGGGGAAATGCTGATACCAGGGCCCAGGAACTAGGAGGACATGACTTTGTCCTGTTACTATGCATCCCCCCACCCCCCAAGTATGACTACTGAGGCAAGGGATGCTTCTAGGTAAAACAGGCAAATAATTTTTGCTTTAATTGTTATGAATTTATTTTAACGTGAGTTGGAAAAATGTATCTAGTAGTGCCTTTGTAATAGGGATGTAAAATTTCCTACCTAAGTCAAGGTAAACCAAAGATGTATTGATTTAAGGAACATGTTAAGTCAGCGGTTCTCAACTTCTGGGCCACGACCCTTTTGGGGTCGAACGACCCTTTCACAGGGGTTGCCTAAGACCATCGGAAAACACATATATAATTGCGTATTGTTTTTGTAATTAATCACTATGCTTTAATCATGTTCAATTTGTAACAATGAAGTTGGGGGTCACCACAACATGAGGAACTGTATTAAAGGGTCGTAGCATTAGGAAGGTTGAGAACCACTGAGTTAAGTGAATGATGGTATGGATACTATAAGGTTACGTTGGCAGAACCCTTGGTATGAGGGTTTTTTGTTGTTTGTTAATCCTCTACTGAGGATATTTTTCCATTATTTTTAGGGAGAGTGGGAGAGAGAGGGAAAGACAGAGAGCAACATTGATGTAAGAGAAATGCATTGATTGGTTGCCTCCTGCATGAGCCCTGACCAGGGCCTGGGCCGGGGAGGAACTTGCAACCCAGGTACCTGCCCTTGACCGGAATCGAACCAGGGACTCTTTGGTCCACAGGCTGACGCTCTGTCCACTGAGCCAAACTGGCTAGGGCTGGTATGAGTTGATATAAAGTTTCGGTGCCTTGTTGATTGCCTCCCGGCAGCCACTGTGGCCCTCACACTCTGGCACAGGCATCTTTCATGCTAGAAGCTGAGATGCCTGACAACTTGCTTTCCCACGGGCGTCTGTAGCTAGTGAATGAGCATGTGACCGAGCTCTGCTCAGTGGGGTGTGGAGCGGAAGCTGGGTAGGCTTCTAGGCAAGACTGTCCTTTCTGATAAGTGAAGACATCTCTTTCTTGTCCTGCTGGTGGTTGTGATAGCCCCTTTGGGTCGGTGAGGGAGGTGTAGCTGGCATGCTGAGCATGGCAAAGAGGAAGGAACCAGGCACTGGTGACATTGATAAGCTAATGAGCCAACCCTGAGTTCCTATGCCAGACAGTTTATGTGCGATAAGAAACTCAGCACGAGGACTTGTGAGTCTTGAACTTCCCAGGAGGACTTCCCACCATGGACAGTCTCCCACCGCCCAGTAATGAATTGTATTTAGGGTACCCACTGGGTAGCTGTCACCCTAGTTCTCTTATTTGTCCGGTTTTGGTTCACCCTCCTGGAATTCTCTACTTGGATTTTGTCCATTACTGGTCCTATTCTTACCCACTTAGAACCGACAGCTGCCTTCAGACTGGTGGCTACCTTAGGGCATTGGATTTCTTTGACTCTTGCTAACCTTTTACAAATAGTCATTTACCACCACGTCCCTGCAAATCAGAGGCATTTCTGTTGCCACAGCAACATGAACACGCTAGAGCTCATGCTGCAGTTGCTCTGCTTGGAAACTGGTACTTGGGGTTAAGAACTCCAAGCATCATGGAGCCACCAGTCCTTACCGGCCTGTCTGCAGAGACGAAGATGGGGCAATTGTCAAGTTCCCCCAGAGCATGCTCCCTGGCCCTTCTAGTGCAATTGCTCTCTCATCCCCAGGAAAACAGGCAGGGAAGTTTGGGGGATAGCCTGGCCCCATCATGCTGCTCTGAATATTCCTACAGATGGAGGCTGGGTACCCGGGAGCAGCTAAGGGGGCGTGTTTCCATAGCCTGTCAATGCAGGTGGGCAAAGTCGTGTTATAGTCGGAGTACACGAAAGAGTTCACTCTTGTATTATGAATTAATTATTGTATTATTTTCCATACAAACAACTGTAAACCTACTTTTTCCAACTCCTGTGTTTGTTGACTCTTTCGGTTGCCTAAGACAGAAACTTAGCTCAAACTGGCTTATGTGAAAGGGGAAATTCTTGGTCCCTGAAACTGAAAAACCCAGGGGTAGGCTGGCTTCAGACACCGGGATCCAGGTGGAGATGTGAGGTCCTCAGGACTCTCTTTCTCTGCATCTCAGCTCGGCCCTCCTGTCTTGGTTTCAGCCTCAGGGGCCTGTTTCTCCCAGGGAGTGTGATGGCTGCAGCTCCCCTCCTCTTAGGTATCCTCACGGCTGCAGCTCCCGGGAGAAGAGCTGAAGTCTCGTTGGACCGTGGGTCACATGCAGCCAGAAGGATGGCTGTGCTGATTGGCCAGACCTGTCCTGTGTCTGCCCTGGAAAGGAGGGCCCTGTGTGGGAGAGAGTGAGTGAGGAAGAGGTGGTCACTTGGAAGAAAACTAGGGAAGAAATATTGAGAACTGGTTAGAAATCACACACCATGGAGCCAGCATTCGCAGGCTCAAATATGTGTGACCTTTGGCAAATTACCTAAGTCCCTTTGTGCCTTAGATTCCTCTGCTGAAGATGGATAAAATAAGGGCCCCTACCATATAGCACTTGTGAGCATCCCATGTGTAAATATCAGTGACAGCACCGAGGACAGCCTGGTACCTGGCAAGAGGTGCGTGTGGAGGAGATGGTGATGACAGCAGGCAGCAAGGAAAGGTGCATGGCGTAGCAGGAAGGGTGAGCAGCTTCTCTGCTGCCACCTGGCAGTGCTTCCTGGCAGTGTGCGGCCCCATGGGGGTCGGCATCCCTCTTTGTATGCGCGGCACAGGCAGCCATCACCTCGCGTGGGGAGAGCAGGAAGCACCCTGCCGCCGGCATGCATGGGATTGGCAGCCGACCTGGGATGAGCCCATCTCTGGGCACAGTTCCAAGAAGGCTGGTTGGCACCAAGGATGATGAATTGGTCCAGACAGTTGAATTGGTTCGGTTCTCAGTTCATTGACCTTTCTCTGTCCATGGTCGGAGGCATGATTACAGATCTGTCCACACCTGCTCACCAGCCTGGCCATCCTCTCATTGGCTGCCCCTGAGGCTCACGCGGGCTTGGAGGAGTGCCCTCCTCCTGTGTGACCGTGGGGAGCTGGTGTGGCGAGCTCATGGAGCAGTAAAGCAGTCTCCATCCATGGAAAAGGAACGTGCTGGGCTCTGCCCTTGACCCTCGGCTCTTCTAAGCCCAGCCTGAGCTAAGGAACATGCTGGATCGTAGGACCTTGTCTTCTACAGACAGGCCCAAGTCACGGAACATCAGTCCGCCTGAGGAACTTTACGGACCAGGCACTGTCCCAGTGGTCCAGCTACTGACCCAGCTATTCCGTGCCAATGGGAATCAATATACTAGTACATGGGCACCCACCTCGGAGGACCTCCATGACAGAGTCCTGGCTGGTACTTCTGGTCACCTGCCTGTATCCTCCTGGTTCCTGGCCCCTTCCTGTCTGGGAGCTCTCAGTCCCGCTGTCTCTTGGACCATTTCAAGCAGCATGTACGGACATTACAGTTACCCATCATTTATAATGCCCATCACTTACAGCGCTGTCCACATACACAACCTCCTGAGAGATCGTCTCAGAATAAGAGAGAGAGAGGCGTTGTCTCTGATGGCTGGACTAGGGTGAGTCAAATGAGGTACTTGCCCTGGCACCGGGGTTGGTGGCTCTCTGTGGTTGGACGATCTAGGATGGCTCGCTCACAGGACTGGCAGTGAGCAAGTTGTTGGCCTGGGAGCTTGGTTCTCCATGTGGCCTGCGTCCTCCAGCTGGCTGGCTCGGGCTTGCTCACGTGGTGGGTCCAAGAAGGGCTAGGGAGCCTGCCCCAACGCACAAGTGCTTTTCAGCCTGTGCACCGTGTTTGCTAGGTCCCACCGGATGGTGCAGAACTAGACTTCACTCCTCGTGGGAGGGACGGCTCTCTGGGAAACCTACTGCAGATCGTGTTGACTCAACAGGCCACTGAGAGCACAACCTCTGACTTCACGGAAGATGCACAGGTTTTGGTGCCATTCAGAGGGTCCTACGTGGCCTTGTGAAGAGACGGATGAGCCACTTCCACAATAGTGTCTGGCACACGGAAGGCACTCCATGAGTGGGTTCTCACTCACTGTCACTTCCTGGAGGAGCGTCTCCTCGCTCAAGAAAGGCTAGGCCCCCTCTGACCTGCCAGGAGCAGTAGCTGACAATAATGCTTATTGAGTGGGGCTCTGTGCCAGGTGGGACGAAAGGATTCTTTTTTTTAAAAAAATATATATTTTATTGATTTTTTACAGAGAGGAAGGGAGAGGGATAGAGAGTTAGAAACATCGATGAGAGAGAAACATCGATCAGCTGCCTCCTGCACATCTCCCACTGGGGATGTGCCTGCAACCCAGGTACATGCCCTTGACCGGAATCGAACCTGGGACCTTTCAGTCCGCAGGCCGATGCTCTATCCACTGAGCCAAACCAGTTTTGGCAAGGATTCTTTAGGTTTATATAAAAAACACTTTATTCAACATTTTATGGTTTTAGAAGTAATTCCTTATGATATATAATCAAGGTGCTGAATAAAATCCATTGTTGGCGCCCTGCGCCCTG